AAAGTACAGCAATTCCTAGTGCTGGTATTAAAGAAGGGACAATGACAGCAGAATTACCTAGCAGTACACTTCCTACAAGCACTGCTCAAGCAACCTCAAGTGGGCCACAGACCTCCACAGCTCCACTGGCGACCACTTCCTCCCCTGAGACTACACCGAGTGTTAGTCCTTCTACTGCCGAGGAGACAACCATGGTTTCCCTCCTTAGTACGTCACAGTCTGAGAGCACAGCTGCAGCCACCTCTACCACAGGTATAACATCAACCTTTCCCGGAGGGACCACTTCTACAGCCGAAACTAAAGCAATAACTAGTGCTACTGCAATAGAAAGGACAACTACAATTCCTCTTCTGGCGACTACCCTACCCGAGAGCACCACTACAGCCTCCACTTCTATTCCGGATACCTCCACATCTCCTCTAGAGACAACCACAGCTCCCTTGCCTGTTACTTACCCAGCTGTGACCACAAGTGCTGTCACCTCTCTAGGAGAAACATCCAGAGGTGCTTTTATGATGACTTTTCCAGGTGAGAGTACAGTGATATGGAGTCTCTCTCGAGATTCCATCAATATGTCTACTCATACATCAACAACTTATACCTCCACTACAGCTGAGGGAATAATTACAACTGTCCATTTATCTTTTTCCTTAGGTGAGACCACAACCTCTCTAGACTCTGCTATCGGAAGAAAGACAACAGCAGCCTTCTCCGTGACTTCCACTACATCACTTTCACCTACCACAGCTGCACTGACAAGTAATACCATTATGTTTTGTGTTGTTTATCCTTTTATAGAGTTTTTGTTTACATAAGTCTGGACCTATTTTAATCAGGTTATCATTCTTTTGAAGTCTCAGATTAAAAGAAAGAAATTGTCTGTGAATGTTAGAATTTAGGTATTTTGGAAAAATCAAAAGTGAAGATTTCATGCTACTTATTTTAGTCAGATATTATTTCGTATATGCTTAGCATAATTTATAATTTCCTTAAATATAGGAAATAAGAGATTTGAACATAAAAGAAATTGAAGAGGTAGGAGCATCTTATTGAAGATTTTTGCTCTGCTCAACACTTTTTTTCAGATTGTTAGCTCACATACAATGCTATGGGAGAGGAAGGGGATACAATCTGATATCAAAAAGGGATTGGCAGTAACCTCTTGGAAACTCCAAATGGAAATATTATGGATTAAATTGACGCCCTTTAGTATGTGCTTAATATTAAGCACAGGATTAAGTCCAACCATTTTCACTCAAGAAATGGTGTCAATGGGACTACTCATGCAAAAAAGAAGCTCTTCATGCGGAAAAGGAGTTAGGCATAGTTATTCTTATCATCACAGCACCCAACTGGCTAAACTGTCACTCTGATTCACAAAGCTTGAGTTAGAGAGTCTGAGCTGCTATCTGCTGAATTAGGAGAGATAGGTTCTTTAGTATGGTATCCCCCAGGCTATGTTCATTATCATGTGTTTTCTGTGTGGTTGAAAGAACTCACAGAGAGAGAAAGAGGAAGTGCACACATGGGAGTGATTCATTAGGATGGGAAAGGCCCAGGATGCAACCTGGTTATTTATCTGGAGCACAATGGTATGTCTCCCACATGCCAGTTGAATATCCTAATGGCAGAGCTATGAAGGTATGAGAGAGGGCCTCCTACATTATATGAATGCCCCGAAAGGGCCTAGCCTGGACGACATGCTCAGTTTCTTTTACTTTTGTATTTAGCATTGGTGCAGCTGTTGCTGGAATATTGCATCCAGTTTGGGTGTCCATAATTCAGGAAGCATGCTGATTGATTCTAGGGGGTATAGAGAAGAGTCCAAAGAATGATTAGAAGATAAGAAAACATGTTAGTGTGATGGACTCACTGAGCAAAATCTATTGAGCTTAACAGAGAAAAGGTTGTGGTCAGCCCCACCCCTCCAGTCTATCTTTGAAACTAGGAATCTAGGGACATTGAAGTGCAAATTACATGTTATAGATTCATTAGTGAAACAAAGAATGAGGCCCAGATACTAAGAAATGGAAAAAGTATTCCAGAGGACATTATAGATTGAGTTTCTGATGACTGTTCCTTGTATAAGTTATGAAAATATAAATGGAAAAATTCAAAACTGGAGAAAAATGCTGCAATGTTCAAAGGTAAAAGAAATTCCATGTATGATGACACAGATGATTTTTTTTAAGTTTCCTTTGAACAACACACACTATACTATGTAAGAACCTATATAAAATAGAGTACTCGAGATGCATTTCTCTACACAGACCATGAAATAACAGAAGTAATAAACCAGAAGACCGTTAACCCAATGGGACAAAATAAAGATAACAATGTCACAACACCACAGACAATGCCTATGGTTCAAACCAGCACTGCTACCACCACCAGAAGTACAACATTAAAGAGTACCACCAAAGGAGCAGTTCCTGTGATCCCCAACATACCTGGGACCACAGCAACATATCTCACAACAGGAGAAGTATCCATCACTACAGCCCCAGTGACCACTTCCGCAGCTGAGACTAAACCTGCAGCTACGTCTGTGTTAGTAGAGACCTTCTCTTCTGCTCTTCCAACCTCCTCCCTAGCAGAGCCCACAACAATGATGAGCATTTCTGCCCCACAGCCAACTACAGTCGCTCTTGCTGCTAGTTCACCATCTGCTATGGCAATTACAGTCATCTCTACAGTAGCAGAGATGTCTACAGCTCCTCTAAAGGCTACTTCCCCAGGTGAGACTACAGCAATGGCTAGTACCTCTAACATAAAGGAGAGAACCACTGTTGTCCTTCCAATCAGTTCACTCTACGAGAACACAACTGCAGCCACTTCTGCTACCCCAGTGACTTTTTCACCTCCTCTAGAGACCACATCCACAGCTATGACTACAAACATAACTAGCACAGTGACAGTACCAGAGAAAACAACAATTGCCTTTCCTACCACTTCACCATCTCAGAGTACAACTTCACAATCTGAAAGCACAGTTGCAGTTTCATCTCCTGTTATTGAGACCTCCACAGCTACTCTGGAAACCACATCTCCAGCTGAGACAACAACAATAGCTGCAGTAGAGGGAACAACTTCAGTTGCTCTGATTACCACTTTATTACCTCAGCGCACAGCTGCAGTTGC